TCCTCGGCCTTAGGTTTTCTAGTGGCTAGGGTAGTCGGCCAAACCATGGGAGGTACCATCTCACTGTGGGAGGCCAGAGGTGGAGAGTTGTAAAGCCAATTGTGTCCAAGCATGGGTAGATGTGTTTGATTAAAAAGGGAAGGGGTTTGGGTCAACTTGGGTCTAGCTTTGGTTTAGTCTCATGGAAATGGATTCGGGTCACTCCCAAGGTGGTTAAGGCTAGTGGAGGTAAGGTTAATTAATGTGGTCAAGCCCCATCAAAGAGATTAGGGCTTAATCATGGGTTAGAGGGAATGATTAAAGTAGTTAAATGCTTTAATTGGAATTAATAAAGAGCCTCCTTCTTTTTCCACTTAGGAGAGGGTGACATGGCATGGCTCACATGTGGCTTAGAGGAAGCCTCATAGCTTTCATATGGTTTGGCTAATTTCCATGAAAAAGGATTTTAGGATTTTCTTGGTATTTTATGTGGTGTTGGTATAAATCCAAATATGGGGAAATTTAATCATGTATATCATGGTGTATGGTTTAGTTTGATTTAATGAATGACGAGGAAAATTCTTCATGAAGAAATGAGCTTTTTATTTTAAGGAAACTTAAGAGACGAACTTGGTTTGGCGAGCTTTTTTTTTTAAAAAAAAGGGTCATGGGTAATTGATTTGGGCTTGGATTTGATGAGGATTTAAATCAACCATGGATTTGATGAATTTTGTCAATTGTCATGATAATGTTTAGGCCATGAATTTGGTAAATTGGATTTGACATAAGGGATTTGGTGGGGTTAAGATTGATTCAGTATGAATTGGGGGTAATTTGGGCTTTTTGGTGGGAATTGGGAATTTTTGGTATTTTGATGAAACTTGGGTACTTTTGGTAATTTTGTGGTAGTTGGGTAGTTTGGAGGAGTTTGCTGGGTAATTTTAGTGGAGAATTTGATGTTTGAGTAATTTTGGATAGTTTAGGAATTATGGGTAAATTTGAGAATTTTGGGTGAAATTAAGGTTGACTTTTGGTGGATGTGATGAGGAGTGTGAATGAGGGGTGAGTATATGTATAGGGTAGAGCGGTGTACAAGGCATTCTAGGGATTAATGATCCTATAGGAACTCATTTTTTTAGCTTCAACATGTTGGTCCCCAACCCACTCAACCAAATGATGAGGGTTTGAGACCACCCATATAAGAATTCACAAAAGTGTCAAGAAGTAATTTTAAGTGGTGGTAATGCATTGAATGTGTATGTGAATTGTAGGGTAAGGTATGGGGGTGGTGTGTGTTGGATGTGTATGTGATGTGAGGTGAATATCCAAGTCAAAAAGGGCTTCCCTAAGACCTTATGACCCTATAAGAACTCATTTTTTTTGGAGCATCATCATGTTGGCCTAAACTAACTCAACCAAGGGACCACCCATGGGAGACTCCATAAAAGAGTCAAGAGGTGGCTAAAATTTCTTAGTGAGATAGGTTCCATCACTAGTCTTCTAGGATAGTCAATAGAGAAAACCCTATGGCTAGATCTTAAGCTTTAAGAGAAAACTTGACCTCACCAAAAATGAGGTCAACAAAATGTTCTAGAATCACCTATTTGTCTATAAATGATCTCATCACTTGGTAGGAATCTTTTCTTGCATTTAACCTTAAGTTCTCTGATTTTTTTAGAGATGGAAACAACTTGTGAAGTTATGATTGTTAAAATATCTATCATTAATAATGAGTACCTTCCTAGAGTTAATTCTATCAAATTACCATTAAAAATTATTTGTTGTAATTTCTTCAATTAATGAATAAGTCTCCTCAAATTGTTTGGATATTAGTAGCCCCCAGTTGTAGCATCAATGATTGACATAATCAATCTCACAAACACATTATAAGAATTTTGAATAATTAGTCAGATATGTAGGTCATGGTATCGATATTTTCTAAGTAATTCTTTGAATCTCTATCAAGCTTCAAAAATGAACTCATCATCCAATTATGTAAAGTAAGCGCTATCATTCTTAAGTTTGAAAATATTAGATGGAGGGAAATACTTGGCTAGGAATTTTTAGGTAAGTTTATTCAAGTGGTCAACTAAAGTGCCAAGGAGTTCAACCACGTCTTTGTCTTATCCGTAAGTGAGAAAGGGAATAATCTAAGTCAAACAATATCATTAGAGATGTTATTAAGCCTTAAGATGTGACATAATTCTAAAAAGATAATTGAGATTGAGTGGTTCTTTGTGGGTGATCCCCAAACTAGTTTTTCTGAACCATGTGGATGATTGTAGGTCTGAGTTCTATAGTAGCAACTTCTACAACATAGTTAATAATACTTAAGTGAATTTCCTCTATTAATGGATAGTCATTCTCCTTATAGGGTCTAATGTGTTTTTCTAAAGGAATTGCCGTTATAAATATTTTACTTTTATGTTTTATGATTTTCTTTTTGTATTTTTCGTTTACTTTTATGTTTTATGATTTTCTTTTTGTATTTTTTGCTATTTTTTCAAATTTAGGGTCAAATGATACTTAGTCAACAATTCCAGCCTTACACATGCAAACCTAGGTTGATAAGTGAGTTATCCTAAACTAGTAGAAAAAAAAAATTACACAAAAAAAGATTTGTTAATAATAAAGTAAAACTTATAGAAGTGCCCTCCTTAAGGCCTTCCCTTCTTAATCTTAGAGTTAGAAGGAACAGAGGAAGATATTAATAACATTTTGTAGGGAGAAGAGTTACTAGAAGGAGACAGTAAATCGGGAAGAATAGAAGGTAAAGAATGTAAAAGAGATTGTCCAAAATTATTAGAAGAAAGAATATTCATTATGTTGAGACTAATAGGAATAACACTAATAAAAATAGATACATTTCTTTTAATATCATTAACATATTCAACACCAAATTTGTCAACCAAGACATTTAAGTTTGGTTTGACAAAAGAAGGAGGGATAGGAGGAACAAGACCTAGAATAAGGGTCTTACTTTTACTTCTATAAGTTCTTAGACCTTGCCTACTATTGCTCTTAATTCTAACTCTAAAAGTAGATATAATATGAGCATGTTTGCATTCAAAAGATTTATGAAAATTAGTGTGCGCATAAGCAAACGTTAAATAGACTTTACAAAAAAAATTGTTATCATTCATAAATGATAGGAAGAATAAAATCTTGCCCTCTAGCATTAAGAATAATATAATTTGGAAGAGCATAGTTGATATTGATTTGAATATAAACTGAGAAAAAGCCTAGATATCAAAGCAATAAGATGGTCAAGAACAAGTGTTATCCCAATTTTGCTCACAATTTTGGAAATCTCATTCTCAGACCATCAAAATTGGGGAATATTAAAGAGCTTTACTCATTTAATAACATCTATAAAGTCCTCCTTGACTAAAATAAATAAAAGAGACTATTTCTTGAAAAGTAAGGGTAGGTCCTCACAATATAGAAACTTAAATCTTCAACACAATAAAAGCTAAAGAGAAAAAAACTTTGTGAAAGGGATAAAAGATTCATGAGATATTCTAGTTTCCATATCTTGGTCATAAGCTGAAGAAGATTACTTTAGAAGGTATGTTCTCCCAATGCATTTCCTACCATAACATGCTTCATGCTTTTACCACTTGAATCCATCTTTAACATCAAGGTCTGAGAAAAGAACTTTATCTTCTACACAAGCAATGTAGGAGAGATTAAGTTTTAAGAACTCAAAGTATTCAAAGACATTAGTCCTTTCTACTTAAGGGAAGGGCTCGATCCATGCAATGAATAAGAGGAAGTAAGAGAGAGGAGAGGAGGAAAGATGGAGGGATCCATAAAGAACCATGAAGCAGGATTTAGGGATGTGGAGGAACACAAAAACCTAGAAGAGCAGGAAACCCTACGAACAATTTTACATTTCCCACAACTTAAATTGGACCCCAAGTCATTCCCACACTCGCTAATTACCCAAAAGCCTTTAATGCCTTCTTCTCTTATACTTTTATCCTACATATTATCTTTTGTACACTCGATAACCCATCATCTTGATGATTAAACAACATTTTTTAATTTCTTTCCAATCAAAATGGGTAAACAAAGTAACATTTATTAATTAAAATGATAATCTGGAGCCTTTAATGCCTTCTTCTCTTATACTTTTATCCTCCATATTATCTTTTGTACACCCGATAACCCATTATCTTGACGATTAAACAACATTGTTTAATTTCTTTCCAATCAAAATGGGTAAATAAAGTAACATTTATTAATTAAAATGATAATTTGATCTAATAACCGACCACACAAGTCCGATGCTCTCATCATGAGAACACTAATGCGAAACCCACACCATGTGATCTCTCATTGCTCTCCATGTCTCGTATCTTCTTGATGTCACAATTAGGATTCAACCCCACCATCCAGAAGCCGTCATCTAAAAAAAATAGAGAAGGGTGAAGACGAGCAGTGAGCAAGTATAACAACTTACTAGATTTAAATTAGTAGTATTCAATAAATTCTGTAAGGGCTAGCTCCAAAAAAAATCTTTGGCAACGGATCTGATAAATTCAATTATACCTTGTTATACTATTGGGCAATTATGAGTATTTAAAAGTTTGTTATGTTAGTTAGAATAACAAAGTATATTATTTACTCACTAGATTAAAAACTAATTATTAAATTTAAGTAAATTCAATTTAAATTTTATTTCTAATGAGGCTTATTAATAACTATTTATTTACTAAACTAATTGATTATTCATTAAAAATTTATAAAAGTAATTACTTATTAAATAATAGTTTAAAATTAATTATGTATTCATTAGTTATTAATTATATTGATTAAGAATTACTTAAAAAATCCATTTAAAAATAAAAATATAAATATTTTTAATTCGTTAATTAACTAATAATAATAATAATATCTAATTTATTTAATTGTTATTAATTAGTAGTTTATTTTTACTAATTTTTACTTAATTCTTAATTAAAATAACAAACTTAAGCTAAATAAAAAATAAAATAAAATCGCAAAGCCATCTCCGCTTCCGCTCTCTCCTCTCTGCACGTAGCACTTTCCTCTCTTCAAAAACCGGCGCCAGCTTCACTCCCCCTCTCCTGGCCTCCCGGTTTCGACCGAACCCTCAGCGATACAGTCTCGATTAGAGATAAAGGGGAAGGCAACACCGGATCGCGGCGTACAGAGACCCCAAATTCCCATCTTTTTCCTCTTTCTGCTCCCATCCTACCGGAAGGTAACTTCACATATTTTCGCGCGAAAGAGCGTCCCGGATTTACTAAATCCGCCAATTCACGGGATTTAGTAAATCCGCGATTTAAGGCCGAAATCCGTGAAATCCGGATTTATCAAATCCGCAGCTTTATTTACAGGGCTAAACAGTTCGCATCGCATTGGATCGCTTCTCTCACTGTGGAGAAAGAAACGAGAAGAACGTTTGAAACTACAAGTAAGGCAGAGATCGCGAGAGAGGGAGGGTTGTAGGAGGAAAATGTTTGAATATTAATCGATTGTTATAGATTTCGACGTCGGCTGCGGTCATGGCGTCGGATCTTTCATCGGAGAACGACGTAGATGGAGATGACGAAAGGGAGGAGGATGATGATGAAGAGGAGGAGGAGGAAGGGGACGAGGCAGTAGAGGAAGAGGAGGAACCAAGGCTTAAGTACCAGAGGATGGGCGGGAGCGTGCCGTCCCTTCTTTCAACCGATGCAGCGGCGTCTATTGCCATTGCTGAACGGATGATCGCCCTTGGGACACATGATGGCACCGTGCATATACTTGACTTCCAGGGAAATCAGGTGGATTTATCTCTCGTCTTGCTTCTATTGCTTTGTTCATTTTTTTATGTGATTTTTCGCTGGGGATATGAGGGATTTTGGATTTTGGTTCTTTAATTTAGTTGCTGGATGGAGTTCATACGATCCATTATAGCCATAAAGGTACAGAAAATGTAAGTAGATGCTAACGTTGTAGTTGCAAAATTTTGCTTTGAGGGGAAGCTTTTGTTTGAAATTCTTTTAATTTGCGTTGCTATAAAGCAGATGGAGTCCAACATTACCAATTGTGTATCATTTGTCAATTCATTCACAAGCTCATCTTGCTCTGCTTATGATCTGAATTAGGGGTGACCATCTTTAAAGATGACCTATTATATGGAGTATGCTTTTGTTGAATCTTACTGAAATTGTAAGTTTCTGCAAATATGAGTTCATTCGTTGTAGTGTTGTTGATTGTAGATTCGAGCTAAATGCTACTAATGGATTACATTTTCTGTATCAATAATGGTGAAATTGAGTACTCGGAGGAATTGAATACTTGTGTGTTTCTAATACTCTTTAAAATGGGGCTATATGTTTTAATTAAATTTAACCAGAGTTTTAGATTGTAGGCCCTATTCATCTGTTACGATTGGGTTGCAATAATAGTATGTCTATTGGTGATTTATGTTCTCAGAGAAAGTGTATGCGTGTTTCAACTTCATTTAAGACTTATTTTGTTGCTTGTAGATAGAACATAATTTTAGCATTTAAGGAATTTTGTTCACTCATTCTAAGTGGTAAACAAAATGAAATCATCATTTTTCAACTCTAAAGGTGTTTGAAGCTTTTAAATGCATATTTATTTCTACCTAATCCAACCAAATGTTGAAATTTAGTAAATTCATCATTTTTCAGAACTTATTCTCTAATTTTAGACGAAGAAATAGGTAGCTTTGTTGGCAAGCATGTTTTCAGAACTTATTCTCTAATTTTAGACGAAGAAATCAACCCATAGGTAGCTTTGTTGGCAAGCATGCAGAAGTGAAATTCATTATCTTTCTTCATTTTCCTGGCACACTAATTTTGATTCTTGATTTTTTTTATTGGCGCTGCATGGTCATTTTATCATCTAATTGATCAATCATCATGTTTTCCGATGAACTATTGGATGTGTTATATATATATACTCCTTTCTTTGTATTTCCGTATCAAACCTCTAAATAAGCTTCTATAGTAGATTTTCCTAGTTTGAATCCAAATTGATTTTTTGAAACTTTAGTATTACGTTATAAACTATGTTTGAATTGCTCTCACAAGTTTAACGTATGAAATATCAACTTAATTCTTTATAATTTGCATATTCTTGTGCATCTCTTTTATTCTTAAAAATAAGAACCAATAGACTATTTCTATACTCATTAAACATTTTTTAGTTTTTAAAATAATATTAAAAATTTTAGTAAGCAAAAAAACTTTTAGATCTCCTATATATTTTCACACGATTATTATAATACCATTAGTTTCCAATGCTTTTCTACACTTCATTCTCTTTAACGCCTTTTCAACTTCCATTTCACCAATGAGACGCCGTAAATAAAAAAAAAATATTATTTATGATATTAAGATCACTAAAGTTGATCGTATTTTTACAGTCATCGTTAAAAATATATTTTTAAAATATCTCACCTGCCCATGTTGAATATCCTTATCTAAGAAAAATATTTTATTGATTTTCATTTTAAATACATTTTTCTTGAACGAAAGATTTATTTTTCCTCTTTGTTTGACTGGTTTATATATATATTACCCATGTTTATACCTAATATATTATAATGATCACTAAAAGCATAATTCTTACTATCTCAAATTATTATTTTACTCTCTACGAGTCATCTTATATATTTTTTTTCATTATTCTAATTTCTTTCATCTAAATTAATTTTTATAATAAAGTTTCTTATTATTTATCTTGTATTGCATATTATTATTCCACTACAATTTATTTTTATTCACAAGAGCTTTTCTCTTTGATTTTCCAAGCACATCTTTTACAACATGCTTAATAATACTTGTTACTTAATCCCAAATAATATATTTTTTTTATGAAAAAATTAAATTTTAAGATATTGAAGTTTACTCATAAAAATAATTTAATTTATTTTTTTAAGTGCAACCTTACTCATAAAAATAATTTTATTTATTTTTTTAAGTGCAACTAGTGCAACCATCTCATTTTCTGATAATATTTTGTTTTGTTTTTAATTTTAAAATTCAAATTCAATAATCAATAGTGTACTTAAATATTCACTTGGAATGACCTTACAATCTTTATAATATATACAATATATATTTTTTCATAAGAAAATAATTAATTTCTATTTTATTAGATCTATTCTTATAAATGATAATATGCTCCTCTTTTCTTGAATAAAATATTAATAATAATAAAATTATAAACTAAGTAAATATTAATATGCCTATACTTTTTTATTAGTCACTCCAAAATAAAGCCAACATAATTACCTTTAAAATTTGTTACTGCTCTAACAATATGTCCATTTAATTGCTTCTAATAAAAAGTTTTTTTCAAAAGTTATTCTTTGTATTAATTTTTCTTTTGAACATATATCTAAACAGACTTGGGTAATATAAGGATTTATAATATTATGAATTTTAGCATCAATAATAATTTTTATAGTTATAATCCTATGTCCAATTCTATTAATTTTTATTATATCATCTTTTAAAATTTTATCTATAATTGCAATTAGAGCATTTTTGATACATCCCTTTCCTGAATACTAATATTTAAGATCTAAGCTATCAATTTTCTTAGTTTTTATCCAACAAATTTAGTTTTTTGAATGCATAAGATTTTTATCTTCTCCTGAACCATATTATTTACTAATTCTATTAATTTACGTGTGAGATTACTTATGTTTCAAGGGTGCATTTGTTTTGGCTGTGGCTGTATGAAATCTCAGTTTAAAATTTGCTATAGAAAATCAGTTATGTAAAAGCTAGTATTTCAGAAACAGTTTGTCTGTTTGAAAATTTTGATTTTGAAAGCGTTATCTGTGAATAAAATATCTGAAATAACCCTCATCTCATGTGCACCTACACCCTTCTTAGGCTGCCAGTTGCGGTCGTGAGGTTGAAGCAAATTATTTTCAAAATAAATTTCAAAATAAATTTAATGACTATAAAATTATTTATATTATTATTTTCAAAATAAATTTCAAAATAAATTTAATGACATAAATTTCTTAATGACTATAAAATTATTTATATTATGACAACAACAATAGCAACAAGCCTTTATCCCACTAAGTGGGGTTGGCTACATTAATCATTTTTCTCTATTGCGCTCTATTGAGCATTATATTTTCATTTAGTTTTAATAGATTAAGATCATTTTAAATACAATATGCCCAAGTTTTTTTAGGTCTACCTTCGTCTTTCCTAACATTAGTCGAATCTAAAACATCTTCTAGCCTTACTGAATCATCAGATGATTGATGTTTAATGTGACCAAGTCGGGCCATTGGAGCTACACCATCCCTATAACAGATATATTCATTTTGTAGTTTGTCTCCAAGTGTCAATCCACTCATCCACCTAAGCATTCTCATCTCAACAACACTTAACTTAGTTTTGTGCTTATTTTTTAAAGGCCAACACTCTATCATAAAGCATTGCATTTCTCACCACCATTTTATAAACTTTTCATTTCAGTTTAAGCGGTACTTTTCTATCTCACAATAGGCCAGCAGTCTAAGCGGTACTTTTCTATCTCACAATAGGCCAAATGTATTCCTCCAGTTTCACCAAGCAACTTGAATTCTACTAATAACATCCTCATCTATATCTCCATCATTTTGCACAATAGACCAAGATATCTAAAATCTAAAACGTTCACACCAAGATATCTAAAACGTTCACACCTTTAATGATTTGATCACTCATAGTTACAACTCTCTACTACTAGCTACTACTACTAAAATTACATTCAATGTATTAAGTTTTAGTTCTACTCAAACAAAGGCCTTTAGACTCCAGTTTTGACCTCCATAATTCAATTTTTTTCTGTACTCTTTCTCTAGTCTTATCAACAAGAAGGATATATTCAGCGAAAGCATACACCGAGGTACATCCTTCTATAAATGTCCAACAAGAGCGTTCATAACTTAAGCAAAAAGATACGGGCTTAAAGCCAATCCCTGATATAATATAATTGAGATAATGAAATACTACATCAATCCTCCTGTTCGAACACATGTAACTTTGAACTCAAGTAACAACTCTAGTCTAAATATCTTTAATGACTTGAATCTAAGTCATATCAATACCTTTCCTCTCTAGAACTCTCCAAAGGGCTTCTCTTGGATCCTTATCGTAAATTTTTTTCTAAATTAATAAAATCACATGTTGATCCTCCTTATTCTCTCTTTACTTCATCAAACCTCTCCAGAAATGTAAAGCTTCTTTAGTAAAACCGCCCAACATAAATTCAAATTGATTATGAGAAATCTTTCTATCACGTCTTAATCTATGTTTAATTACTTTCTCTCATAATTTTAAAGTATGACACATAAACTTAATTCCTTTTTAATTTCTACATTCTTGTGTTTCCCCTTTATTATTAAAAATGAAGACCAAAATACTTTTTCCCCACTCTTCAGGTATCCTTCTAGTTTTTGAAATATATTAAAGTGTTTAGTAAGCTCCTAAATCTCCTAAATATTTTCACGCTTCATTTGACATATCATTAGGTCCTAATGATTTTTCATCCTTAGTATTCGTTAAAGCCTCTTGAACTTCTTTTATAACAAAATAAATTTATTGAGCATAAAATTATTTTTAACTATGAATTGTAATGATTCAAATTTTCTACTTACTCTATTTAACTTTATGTGCCTCGTGAAGCATAATATTGGTCAATTAAATTAATTATTTATTTGATGACAATATTTGAATTTTAATTTGACACCATATAAATTTTATTTACAAATTTTCATTAAATTAAAATAAATTTTTAGTTGTATTGATAAGATTTATATATTAATGATAAAATTATTGGGCAATTACATACGTAAACATGAATGATTCAAATTATTTACAAAATTTAGACATTGCAATCGTTTTCTAAATTTCATCAAAATATTAAATTGATTTTTTAGATATTACATTCGCTTTAAAAAATCAAATTCGTTTTAAAATTCTTACATATATTACATTCTTTTTAAAAATCAATTTAACTTTATATGTCTCACAATTCATGAAACTGTACTTTGCCCTTTCCTCTTGTAATTCTCGCCTGCATGGGTAAAATCGGAACAGGACGCTAGTTGCCAGCTGTGGTTCGCCGCGAAGAAGAAAATTCGACTGTAGGCTGTAACGCGATTCAAGGAGACCTGAATCAAACGCCCGATATGAGGACTAGATTTTGATAAATAAATGCACTCCAAGTTTCTATCCCAATTTTAGTTTCATGGACTAACTTTTTTGCCCGCATCTGTCAATAACGTGGGAAGCATTGCTTATCTAACACTACACCTTGGCGTTAGTCCAACGTCACTTTTAGGGGATGCTCTAACATTGACACATTGATTTAAATGATTCATGTCATAGTTTCTTAACAAAAAAAAATTTATGCTGGTTTTTGACTACATAACGCAACCCTTATTTTTTTCATCTGAAATTTGGTACCCGATAATGACAGTGTTAAATTGGAGTAGTGTGATACCCTTGGAATAAATTGCCTATAGGCCAATAGTTATGAGACTATTTTAAGATTTAATCTTCTCATGAAACTAGTGATTAAATATCCTTGCACCCATCCCACTGCAGCGCTTGGGTTGTATTTCTTATTTAGCTATAAAGGTACTTGATTTTGCAAGCTTATTGATTCTACTTTTCCATTTGTTATACAGGTCAAAGAATTCTCTGCTCATAATGCTACTGTCAACGACCTTTGTTTTGATGCAGAAGGTGAATATGTCGGTAGCTGCTCCGATGATGGATCTGTGGTTATAAACGGCCTCTTCACCGATGAAAGATTGAAATTTGAGTACCATCGTCCAATGAAAAGCATAGCTCTGGATCCAGATTATTCTCGAAAATCTACTCGTAGATTTGTTGCTGGAGGTTTAGCTGGTCAGCTTTTCTTGAACTCAAAGACCTGGCTAGGGTACAACAAACAGGTATTTCTGGTGTTCGAAGTATTGATGTAAGAGTAGTTTCCATGAAAGTTGCCTATGGGTTTGCTTATCATAGAATGTGTGCCACGTATTTCAGGTTTTACATGATGGTGAGGGTCCAATACATGCAGTTAAGTGGAGAACCTGTCTTATTGCTTGGGCCAATGATGCTGGGGTGAAAGTTTATGACATGGTTAATAATGTAAGGGTTACTTTTATTGAGAGACCTTACGGAATTCCACGCCCAGAGCTTTTGCTTCCTCGTTTGGTCTGGCAGGTTGGCTCAAAGTCTTTTATTTCTAAAGTAGTAATGCATGTTTGTTTGAAATTCTGTCTATTTAAAGAGATTTCTTGATAGATTGATTTCCAGAGGCTTGTAAAGTCGAACTCTGATAAATGATTGCATGTTACACTCACCTGCATTTCTCTAGTCTGTATTTGTTTGGAAAATATTTTTGAAGTATAAGAGGCACCTAATCAGTGACTTCTATTTTTATTTTTTTATTTTTTTTGATCTCCTTTTGAACTGATGAAGATAACATGCTTTCTTATCATTTTAATAATTAGGCATTGCTTAACAAGAACATGCTGAAAGTATCTTGTGAAGTTTGGTTTATGCGGCTGTAATGTTTCATTTTAACTCAATAGAGATGAGAACTAAAGGCACCGCCAGCTTTTGGATACCTTACTTTTCAATGTTTTATTGCTGAAGGTTGGCTGTATCCACCTGAACCAGTTAATGTATATTTTTGTTTACTTCAGACAATGTTGAAATATTCTAAAACATGACTGGGGGCTATTTGAGTTGAGTTTAATAAATGGATGCCCTTTTAGATTCACTTTCATATCTACATAATTTATGCTAATCTGGGCCCACACTCACCAAGAATTGCACCATTTTTTCATCCAATTTTGCTTCCACTTCATTGATTCATGAGATCCCTATTGCCTTAGAAGCTCTCCTATCAAAAAGGTACAAATAGCACGCATTAAAACATTTACAGTGTGGTCTATACCTTCCCTAACAATGTCAGAAAGAGAGGGATTGCAGTCTTTATGTTTCCAAACAAAAGAACCATGCAAAACAAAATAGCACAGAAGTTGGTTGCATTGGTGTGCTCCCTAAACCCAAAATGAAAGAGCACCTACAAGCTTTCCTAGGTTTGTATAAATGCTATTGGAATAAAATGCCCAATCGATTCTCTCCAAATTTTGTGTTGCTATTATGACCCCAGCTTTTTATTCTCCTTCTATTTTTGTTACAACAACACTCATAGTTGCATTACCACTAGCCTGCAGGCCTTCATTGTTGCACTCAAAGACAAAAATGATAAAAAGACTTGCTAGGAGTACTTATATATATGTATATGTATGTATATAATTTTTTTTTTTGAAAGCCCAAAAAGGCTAATACATTAAGTAGAAAGAAAGATACAAATACAATGTATGGGAGGGCCCAAACATGACATACTTGCTCACTAAAAAACCACAAATGGTTCCAAAACTAGAAAAAAACAGAAAAATACATTAGATACTTAAATAAAAAGCCTAACAGTGCTGAAATATATAGTATCAGGTGGCTAGAGAGCGACCCAATTTGGTCTTGCCTCTGCCTCTAGTTCTAGGGAAGGAACAGACTAATATATATATAGTTAGGCTATACCTTCTTTTCTCTTGCCTTTAAAATCTCAAAGATGCCCATTTGAGCTATTGGATTATGGCTATGACCAATTTCTCTCACAATTAAATGAAAATTTCTCTCACAATTAAATTTCATTTATCTCTTGTAATAGCGAAAATAAAATAAATAGGACTGATGGATCCTTAACTATCTTGTTCAACCAATGAAATATTCTTATAAATAAATCTGTCAAATTTGGCATGCATGTAAGTTATTTACCTACATGTTATTCATTCAAAAGCAAATTAAAGATTCCATTTGCAATGGTGTGATTAATTCTTCATGTTATGCTTTCTAGGAATGTACTACGAGGAGGACAAATATGCTTATTAAATAAAAATGGAAGGTTTCTACTAAATTGAGAAACCAACTAATCAACAAAGTAACATACCACCTACAACTTTTCTCCTCTCTCTAGAACTCTTAAATGCAATAAAAAAATGGCTTCAATACTTGTATCTTGTGCACTTATAATTTTTCATTCTCAAAACCATATTCCCTTCATAATTAAAAAAAGTGATGCCTGAAAATTTTATTATGATGTTTCTAAGCTAGCAAAATATAAATCTACCTATTTTCTAGTAAGTGTACAAGAAGTCATTCTTTTTTCTCTTATTCATAGTTCTAAAAATCATCCTTTAATTCTGACATCTATATGGCTCGATGGTTTGTCATTTATTGATGATTGTGACCTTGTGCCATCTTTTTACTAAAATTAACATTGATTTAAGTACAATAATTCCCATCTTTTTGAACATGGAAGTTGATTTTTTAAAGGGACAATTTTGATAATGTTAAAGACTACTTTTACCACCATCTTCTACTTGAAAAAGAAGTGCATCAGTCCTTTTTTATGTATGCACTCTAACAAAATAGTATAATTGAATGATAATATATCAATCTACTTCTGCCATAAGGGCTCTCTTTTGCATTAAAATATCCCAAAATAATATTCGAGAGAAAATAATTTTAATAGCCACCCTCATCATAAATCTATTTATTACGAAGGTTCTTAGGTTCAAAAGAGTTAAACATAAGTTTTAAATAAATTCTTTCTCCATTTTAGCACCTCAAATAAGCCTGTTCGTAAAATATTGAAGCTTTTTTTTTAATCATACACATTTTAAAATAGAAGGAATTTTGATCGTTGAGCGATTAAATATGTTTTTATTAAATATGTTTTTAAGCTTCTCCCACATAAAGAGTATATATATGTTACCATCCTTTTATTGAGAGGTATATGTCTATTGATGTCACTTTTAATGAAAAAGTACTTTTTTGTGACTGTATGAGGAAGAAACATCATTTACACATGTAATTTTCTTTTAGATTGCCTTGCTTAACCACTCATTCTGACAACCAATTCACACTTACCGACCCAAATTGAGCCTATGCGAACTTCACTTCCTACTAAGCTATTATAGGTTTACTCGAGAAGAAAGGCATCTCAATATGCACAAGTCTAGTCAATCATATAAATCTCTATCATTGAATTCATTGTTACAATCGTTGAACCTACACATAAATGTACTATATTTGCACTACATATTTCTTTCATTTATTTTTATTATATAGAAAACCTTTTATATGATCAAATACTCATTCTTGCTAGCCTGCAAGCTATTTCTCTTCTTAAAAAAATATTGCACAAAAAACATTTAATATGATCACATATCCATTCTTCCTAGCTTGTATGCTATTTCTATTCGTAAAACAATCTAAAAGCTTTAAATAATGTGAATTGGAGTAATGCTATTAGGGGAAAAATTCAAATTCTTTAAAAAGAAAGAGAATTAAAAAAGTTATCAAAAGAAAAGAAACTGGTAGGACATTGATTGGTCTTTACTATAAAATAGGTAATAGCCAAAAAAATGTTCTTTGGACTATCCACATAAGACCATTTTAGCCTCAGGCTATAAATGAGTTTACTTTAGTCTCTTGACTCTTCAAATGCTATCCAAAATAATTTCTCTGTTGAACTATTTCGGATTAGATTTATGAAATGAATAAATTTTGACACGTTAGATGTTTTTGACTTGTAACACTCCTCCCACAAAGGACGATTTTGACCTTTTTCTCTTATAACTTAGTGTTCAAAGGCTACCCTCAGATATATAAGATTGATCATCTTGAAGTATTTATTCCATTTACTAAAATAAACACTATTGGAGTTCTTTTATCATTAGCAGTTAATAAGAACTTGTAGATACAATAATTTGATATGAAAAATGTCTCCTTATATGATTATCTAGAGGTGGCAGTCACATGAATCATCCATTATTTTGAAACAAAGCTTCATGGAGAGCCCTAAACTGCTAGTTTATATCGGTGGCATTGTCATGACATCTACCGGCTTAGAAGAAATTGCTCCAAAATTATTAAGCTAAAGATTTAGGCAGGATAATAGTTTATATCGGTGGCATTGTCATGACATCTACCGACTTAGAAGAAATTGCAAAGTTAAAGAAAAATTGCTCCAAGATTATTAAGCTAAAGATTTAGGCAGGATACAGTATTTCCTTAGAATTAAAGTTGGACACTCTTAATGTTGGATTTTCATATCATAACAAAGGTTCATAACTATTTGTTTCGAAAAACAGGTAAGCTTGGATAAAATTTTGTTGGGAGCCCCATAGAATTTAATCCTAAATTAGGAAATGCTGTAAAGGGCACAGTAGTAGAAAAAAATTTCTATTAGAGGCTTGTTGGAAGACTAATCTACTTATTGCATAGATTAAACCTGACATTGCTTATTTTTGTGTGGTGAGTCAATTCATGTATAATCTTAAAGAATCCTACCTTAAAATAATATTTTATATTCTAAAATATATTACACAAACCTCAGACAAATGAATTTTTTTCAAAAGTGGGAACATTTAACTTCTGAAGTATCAGAAGATGTAGATTGTAAGGTTTTATGGTGGATGGGAGATCAATTTGAATTTATTGCTAATTGTTCTGAGGCAACCTCATGTTTTTGAGCATTAAAAAAAAGTGGTGATAAAAGCTATCTTGGAGGCTGAATTTAAATTTATGGTGTCGAGAATCTAACAATTGTAATTGCTAAAATTATCATAAATGATTTAAAGATTGAAGGGAAAGATCTTATAGAAATTTATTATTGTTAGGTCAACCATCAACATTGAATATAATCCCAAACAACATAATCTTATAAAAAATATTTAAGTTGTTCAACATTATATAAAGAAGTCTGATACTGGTCTAGTTTATACTTTATTTGGAACCTATGGTAAACAACTTGCTAACATTCTCATGAAAGGAGCATCAATGGCAATTTTTAGAAATTATCATTTAATCTTGGTATGGCTAGTATCATTCATTGGCTTGAGAGGGAATGTGAAACATCTATATGATTTCTGCTAGCTAAGACCCAGTATTCAAAACTTCTGCCCTCCATCCCTTTTTTGACTGGTTGCCATATTATTGGTCCGTGGGATCCCTACTTTCTATTAATCACTCTGTGAATTATTATTATTAATTTGTAATTATTTTTTTATAATGTTATATGTTTTCTATTAAAAACTCTGCTAGCCTTGTATAAGTCACTAAACAAATGCTGAGATATAATACTCAGAAGCTATTCTCTCAAATTTTTGTCATCATATATTGTCTTGAAAATTTCTTAAAGCGTCAAGACACCTGAGAAAGAATTTTTATTACTTATGACCTTCTTTTGAGCTGGCGCAGATGCCTTGGTTTATTGGCACATTCTTTTTTGTGGTATAACTTAGAATGCTAAGAGTAAGTTTCTTGTAAAGATTGGTATATAAGGCTGTAACATTTCATTTGGTTCTCTTTAGAGCAACTAACTAAAGGCACTGAACTTCTTTTAGATATCTAAGAAACCTATTTAATACATTTTAAGGTTTTAATTTTTTTTTATTTTTTATTTTCTGACGTGCATGTATCCACCAGAACCATGGAAATACTTTTAAGTTGGCCCAATAAGTTCTTTTTTTGTTTGCATACCTTTTTATTGCACAGCAAAGGAATTGTCATGTTAGATTACTTTTATCTGTTTCATGCATTTTTTAAAGAGTTTTGAGCATTGGGTTTTGCATGATAGATTGTGAGCTCTTTTTCTTTATGCGGGACTTTTCATCAGTAGTAGCATTAATAATATTCCTTTTCATGTCTTAGTTTCTGCATTGTTATTTTATTCATCTCAACTTTTGTTATGAGTGCAGGATGACAGTTTATTAGTAATTGGATGGGGCACAAGTGTAAAGATTGCTGCAATAAGAACCAGCTCGCCAGGTGTCAATGGGGTACAAAAAAACATCCCCGCATCAAGTGCAAAGTATGTTGATATCGTGGCTTCTTTTCAGACTAGCTATTCCATATCTGGTATAGCTCCCTTTGGTGATGCTCTAGTTGTATTGGCCTACATTCCAGAGAATGTGAATGGTGAAAAAGATTTCCATAGCACGATGCCTTCACGCCAGGTAACACCTTTTCATAGCTTAAAATGCATAATAGTTCTTGTCTACAATAGCTATTTGTTTCTTCAATTTAATGCAATTTTCTTTTGAATTGATGATTGAAAATAGTGTGACTGGCATGGCAATGTCAAAAACTACAATGGGGTGCAGACTGCAATTGTTCAAAGAAATGTCCGTATTGCAATGAGTAAATAAAATATTGTAAAAGTGGATGAACACAGCTTAATGGATGTAGTCTGCCTCTGTTAGGAGATTTTATGTTCGCAATAATGTAAATAAAAGAGGTAAAAAATGAACGCACCAATGAAGATGTGGACTGCAATGTCAGGGATTTTGTTGGTTTAGGAAAATAATCATAGTAGTATGAACAGAATGGGGATGGTGGAAAAAAATATTAGAGCGTTAGTAAGGACAAGCAATTAAGAAGAAACCACAAACATGAAGGTACATGGATATTTAATTTTTGTCTTCTCCTAAATTTCTGTCCAGTATTCCACCAATAACATTTATCAACTATGAAAAAAGACAAGCTTTGCAGCTTCATCACCTTGATGAACAAGAGAGAAAATGATCATTTTTCTATGCTCATGACCAATGTTTAAAGTGATCCTTTTCTTGGGCTTCCTATCAACCCACAGTTTTTGGAAGCTAAAGATCAATCCTTGTGAACTTCTTCTCAAGCTGAGGAAGACAAATTAAAATCGTTGTCCTAGGCCAGTGGACAAACCCTCAAACAAAGATAGTTTCAATTCACGAAAAATTTGAACACCTTTAGCAATTAGATTTAGTGAATAAAAAGTAGCTAAGGGGAAAAAAATGTATTTAAAACCCCTAAAAGAAAGGGAAGGCTTATCCAACTATTGAATTTCTATGTGAGTTTGAAAAAAAGTGAGTATCATCCTTCAAGGACGGGGAGGGGGTGAGTTAAATAATGAGATAGAAAACATGTGATAGAAATCTTGCACAAATTAACACTCAACCCAAATAAAGCTATTTTCAATGGACCAAGATCTTCCAGATCAAACAGTAAAGAATGATAATACTATAATGCATCAGGACAGTACATCAATAGTTGATTAGAAAAGGCCTCTATGTGAACAACTACATAACGGGAGCTAGTGTTTGAATTCAATCTAATCTGGTTCCACTTGCTCTATAGGAAATTTTGCTATTTCAGCTGACAATTTTGTGAGAAATTTAGTAATTTACATTGGAATATCCAATTGTGATTGTTTGATCGAAAATGCATGTGTGAAGAGAATATATGTCGAATATCATCATAGGCAATGGTGAACTTAAGGGGGATATACATACAACAACAACAATAACAAGCCTTTATCTCACTAAGTGGGGTTGGCTACATGAATCCTTTTTCTCCCTTGAGTCCTATTGAGAGTCGTTTTTCCATTTAATTTTAATAAATTAAGATCATTGTTTATATAACATGCCCAAGTATCATCTTTTATATAACATGCCCAAGTCTTTTCAGGTTAACCTCTACCTTTCGTAAGTTATATCGAATGTAAAACATCTACTCTCCTAACCAGATCATTAGATGGTTGATGTTGAATGATGGCTGATGTTGAATGTGAAGAATGTGAACAAATCATCTAAGACAACTCTCTCTAATCTTGTCTGCCACTCGAGCTACACAAACCCTTTCGCGGATGTATTAGTTTTACATTTTGTCTTTAAGAGTCAAGTCACTCATCTTAGAAGCATTTAACTTTGTTTATGCTTCTCTTTTTTGGGCATACGAGATATATATATATATATATATATATATGTCTTAAAATATTTTATATATAAATATTTTGACATAATTTTTGGTAAATGTTAGGTTAAAATTCATTACTTTTTTTCTAATTTAGAGATTCTGATTAAAATATTGCCAAAATATTTGGTCACTATCAAAATTCTATGTGAGTTCAATCATGGATCTCATTAAAATTTTTTTATATTTTAAAATTTGAATCTTGATCACTTTTAGAAAACATCATATTTAAATATTTTATAATAACACTATACACACAATCAATTTCAAAATAAAATGAAAGCTAAATATTGAAATATATAAAATTATTAAAACCATTTAAAATTTTATATATATATATATGTTTGTATTCATATAATAGTAATAATAATAATAATACTACTAATAATAATAATAATAATAATGATAATAATAATATTAATAATAATAATAATAATCAAAATAAATTTATTTATTTGTTATTTATATTTATGTATTTATTCTTTCTTATTATCATGATCAATGGTTGAAAATGTTTTGTTTTTCTTAAAATTTAAACTTATGTTTATCTATTTCAGAAAAAAAAACTTAAGTTTCTCTATACAATAAGTAATAATGATAATATTAAATTATACATAATCAAAATCATCAAGTTATAATGAAAAATTGAGTTTATTTTTGAAATAATCAAACTGTGTCCCAAAGAAAAATTTCTTGCCATGCCATTGATTACAGACGGATTTCTAGTTGGTTGTCTGTCACAAAATAAATTTTTTTTTTTGATAGAATAGAATGTTGGACTCACCTTTTGGAAAAGGCGGAAATCGATTAAAATTTTTTTGAATCAATTAATGACTGAAATTCTGTTAGAAATTTTCGACTCATAATTAGCCAGTATTTTCACTAGAATTTGTCCATAAAAATTTAAGTTGATTGTCTATTGCCATCACTCCTTATTTCAATCTTAGAGGCAAAAAACCTGCTAGAAATCCACTTAAACTTTATATTGAAACGAAAGAAAATCCAGACGAAGTTATTACTTCTGTAATATACATGAAATGTATACACAAATTTTCTTAGTGTTATAATTATCTTATATATATATATATATATATGTCTGTCAAATCAATTTCACAAAGTGAAATAATGTAAATATTGTTTCAATACAACAAAAACATCATAAGAAAATAAACTCTCATAAGGAATGATTACTCCCTCTCTTCATCATTCTCATGCTTTTCTTTGCTTGGTTTTTCCATTATATTCTTCTTGAACCATCTCTATAATTTCTTTTATTATAGTTATCCAAACATTCATCTAAACATAGGCGTTTGTCTCTGTATCTTCAACATTTATAACTAAATGCCTTGTGACTAGCTCATTGATCTAGTCCACTATCTCCTATGTAAGAATGTCGATCTTGATCTAGTCCACTATCTCCTATGTAAGAATGTCGTGCATCATACACCAACATATGCAGACCTAACTCATATATTTTTTCTTTATTTATTCATTAAATAGATTTTCTCCTATATCAAATTTCGGCTGGTCAAACTGTCCACTCAAGTTACGTCCATTTGTTGAGCTCTGATTCTATAACTTCTTTAGCATTTATTAAAAAGTGCTAATCCGCATTAGGAAGGAATTTATTTCCTTTCTTCAAAATATATTTTACTGATTGGGTTTCCTTTCTTAGATATTTTTTTTATTTTTCTTATTTGGAGTTCTTATTTGATTTATTTATTTATTATATATATGTAGCAAGTTTTAATGCATGATTTGAGAGAAACAAGAACTTCCTATAAGAATACTATATGGTATCAGAGATCTGAAAACAATTTCATTGTGTCGCAACCTTATTCCTCATTGTTGAGCAGGACAGATTGATAAAAAACTCTGAAGTTGCTGTCCGATGTCATCCTTACATGCACATGCTCAAGATTGCTATTTCCTCTCCGACACGTCATCTAACTTTTTCGCATGGTGTCATTCTACGCCTTCCGAACGAGATCACAACGCTTGTCCCCACTTGTATCTTTTGTTCGAACATCTCGATTGATCGTTCAATCCTTTCAAATAGCTCGCTCATCCCATCCTTCAATTCAAATGGGATCATAGAAGCGTCTCTTGTCATAGGCACAAACCAATTGCTGCCATCTGAAACAAAAATCTCCAGTCATGGTCCTTCCACACATTTCTGTTGTTCGAATTCTTTTATCTTGCATCAATGGTCATTTTGTTCCTGTGTCACAGATCTGTTCGAATTCTTCGATTTTAGCAGATCGGCTCGTCCTATCATCCTCTAATAATGGTACTACTGCTTTGATTGAAAAACGATACAGGTTGCCCTACCCTACACCTCATGAGTCGTCGACTTGCAAATGGCTCGACTACTTACCGAGTGTCAAACTCTTGGAAACCGAGAGTTGCTCATCTTCATATAATTTCTGCTCCCTCGTCTAGACGAACAATCATACTAAGGGTCCTCTCATTTTTCGTTCAACCAATTGATCTTCTCCATTCAAACGTCATATATGCTTATCATGGTTAAACACATCATGACGTTACATTCTTCTTTCTTGGATGTTACCTCCAGATTTGATCCTGTCTTCAATGCTCACTGTACTTGAAAACTCTTCTCACGTAGTCACGAATCATAAACTGCATGGCCATAATTATTTCAATGGTCACAATTCGTCTTCATATACATTTGTGGTAGAGGGAAAGGACATCTCACAAGCAAAATTTTAGCTCCAAAAATGATTGATTCAAAATATCGAGCATGGAAAACTAAAGATCACATTGTTATGTCATGGTCAATAAATTTCATGACTATGATTTCAATCTTCCTAATTTTCTTTAGCTCCAAAAATGATTGATTCAAAATATCGAGCTTGGAAAACTAAAGATCACATGGTTATGTCATGGTTAATAAATTTCATGACTATGATTTCAAACCTCCTAATTTTTACTCAATAGAGCATCCAAAGAGATATGAGAGGCTGCACGTGAAACTTGCTTTAGCACTAAAAACTCCTTAGAGCTATTTGAGATTAAGACTAGGTTACATGATCTACGATGAGATTCAAGTGTTATGCAATATTTCAACTAAACATGTATGAGATTCATTCTTGGAAATGTTCTGATGGCTGTCTTGTCTAGGAGAATTACTGAACAAAAAAGAAGCATCAAATTCCTCCTTGTACTAAATAAAGATTTAGATGAAGTTGGGGGATGCATCATGGGAATC